ATGAAATTGTTTCTGTAATACTGCTTTTCAAATTATAAAATGAATAATTACTGATTTATAATTTATTGTTTTTGAAAAAAAAAATTTAATAATTTTGTTTTCTTCACTTTTTCAAAATATTCATTGCAAAATATAACAATTTTTTGGCTAATTTCACTTAGTTTTCTGAACTGAAAACGACATATTTTAATTGCAAATGTTGAATTTTTTTGTGATAATTTTGTAGAAAATGAAAATTAGTCAATAATTTGTAAGAAAATTGACAGAAAAGTAGACAAAATTTCAATTTATATTATAATTATTGGAGATATTCTGTCATTAATTGTAGATATCATTTTTTGTTTCTAATGTTTTTTTACTATGAAGGTTTGCTAAGTTCTTGTAAAGTGATTTAACTTGATTTATTATGTATGATAGAGATGGATGAAGATTTAAATATTGCGCATTTCGAGAGAAGCAAAAATAAAGTCGAATTTCCATTGCATACACACTGTTTTAACTAAAATGATTTAGAAAAATCAACTTTTCTAAAATATTTCAAGAAATTTATTGTTATATAAATATTGAAATTTATTCACTAGCAATTACTCGTTTACTATCTTTGGCTAATTAATTTGATCAATTTTTTGTAATCGTATATTTAAACAAAATGATTGTTTCATCTATTTAATTATGCGTAGCACATTGATAACTGCTTTCAACCAATTTTGATCTAACATCTTCCTAAGAGTTAGAATTATAAATCATCAAACTGTGATTATTTATACTCTTTCTATTTATTTGAATCATTCTATATCATTATCGTTTTGCTTAGTAACTGCACTAAGTATTTGAAATATTTGTGCTGAACGGTGATGCTTGATAAAATTGCTTGAAAATGAAAAGTATTTTAATCTTTTACTCTACTTAGCTATTATTTATTTCTAAGTACGATGTTTGTGTCATTTCAGTTCTAACAAGCATTCAGTTGTTCATTTTTATCTTTTGATATGCAAATTCAATGCTATCATATAGAATGCTTTCAGTTCATATTTAAAAATTTTTTACAGCTTTAAAATGAAGAACTAAATGATGTGCTTTAGACCATCTCGAGTATTCTCCTCTATATATAATTCATTTTTATTGTAAGTCAATGATTATTTTTTCTGCAACAATTTTTGTTTCCATACATTTTCGTTGTGCTTGCGTCATATTTGATGTCGTGCTACCTTCGTTTTTAATTCTGGAATATCCCATTTCGCTATTTTTGCCTATCCAATCATAAATATCTCCCCTATAGCTAACTTTTTATTTCTTATTTGTCTTGCAATCATTAATGTTCAACATCTATTGCTATCAACAATTTTACTTGTTCAAACTTTATTCATACCGATCACTTTCAAGAAAATCTTTGTTCATACACAGCCTTCTACACTACTATTACTACTACTACTACTACTACTACATTATTCTACTATTTCTTTTAAAACTTTCAACTATTCTTGAGCATATATATTATGACCATCACAGTACTTTCTAAAAGTCTTTTATTCTAATATTATTTCCACATGACATGAATTATTGCGTTGTTAATGCAAAGATATATGAAGATATCAGCCTTTGCTCGTGAGTTTTCATATTGTTCTCGCATATTTTTGATTTAAAGAAACACTGTAGTGGTTGTTGTGTAGCTAGCATTACATATATACCCAGCTATAAAACTATATTATCTATATTTAATTCTAACTTTTATTTTTTCTAAGCTTTATTTAAGTAGTCAATTTTCATTATTATCCTTTGCCACGCTATGTGATGTACTACTAGTTTAAAAATTCAAAGATATTTCAGATAACAACATCGCTATTTTCAATATTTTTTCGCAGAAAACAAGTAAAATGTGTTAATTTATTATTGTTGCCCTTAATTATTTGCAAATTTCTCTTTTTTAATTTTTTTTTCCACTATATTGACATTGAAAAAATTTTTTCATCTTTATGAATAATTAATTTTTTCTTATGGTTGCAAATTATAAGATTTCCATCGGAGTGACTTTACTTTTAATGTTAGGTTTGTTTCAATATTACACTCGTAGATCATTAATGCATTTATAGTTCTTATTGTAAGAATTAATATTCCTTTTTTTTATTTGACTATTTTTACTCTAATACGCTTTCATTTATTAACATTTTATGCAAAAAGAAGTATATTTTAAAACTGTTAAATCATTCAGTATTTTATAATTTGTGAATGTAATGTAACTGAATTACTTCTGATTAATCTTTAAAGCAATAATACCATTCTTTTTGAAATATTTGTCTTAATTTTGTATTCAACATTTTGTTTTTTTTTATCATTTAAATCATACTACTTCCTTAGAAATTTGTTTATTCAATATGGTACTTTTGAGTTTAATATTATCTAGAAAGGTATCCTGCTAAGAAAAAAAGGTAAAATGCGATCTTTACTTTTTATTTGATTTCCACCACTGTTTTATGCAGTAAACTTTTTGATTTGCTTGTTATTAACATTCAGTAACTTGGAAGTCTTGTGCAAAATGTATTAATTCTTTGCTATTTAAAACTAAAAAATGAAAAACCAATTGAAATTCATAAATTTGTCCTGGTTGTGTTATGAGGTAGTAAATGCAAAAGGTATGAGGGGATATTTTTTCAAATTTGTTCATCGTTGCATAATGGTTTATTTTAATTATCTCCGGTTTCTTCTTCTTCTTCATTATAATAATACATTTTAGACTTCCCTTAATGACAATTTTTAAAGTTTGGTATTAATTTTATCATTTTTTACTTACTTAATAATCTTGAGGAATATTTAGGAGACTTATTAATGAACAAGCAATAGTAATGATAGTATGACAAATAATTTTGGTAATAACGATGATATTAATTACAATGATCATTCTAACATTAATAATTGTGATTATGATAATTATTAGTACTTGTTTTATATCATTTTTGAATTTCCATTTTAATTAATCGTGTATTTTTGCATTTCAGTATGATATTTTTTAAATAATTCATATTTATTTGCATACAGCATAACTGTTACTTGTCAGTGATGTATTTATCACTTTTTTAGAGAGAATGTTTTTAGGCATTTAATTAATTACTTAATAGCTTCATGCATTTTCATCACTTTATTTTACCAGAAATTTCAGTTTTGAGGCACAGATCGATGGTTTCTAAAAGGTATTCATGCTTGTTCATTTTTGAATATAGCTCTTCAGATCTATTTTGCTTTACATCAATTAACTTTTAGTAACTTTTTTTAGATTTTCAAATTTTCTTTTTGTACTTTTAATTATTTTCACCATTACTTCAAATTGAGTAATTATCGTTAAAAATCTCGCTCATATATCATAATTCCCTGTTTGTTTGTTTGTTTTTGAATTTGATCTGTTCTTAAATTTAATGCTTTATCAAAAATTGATTTTCATACATTTTTGAAAATTTTCTCGTCTTGTTAAAAATGAATGGTTGCTTTGAATTTAGCTTACTGCTGAAATTTGTAATAATACTTTATAAAGTATGCACAGAGAATATAAATGTTGCTTTTTGTTGGTATAAATAGAACTATTTAGTGGTTAAATACCTTCGGGTAAAAAATAAGTTCATAATGCTGAACTTTTGGAATTTGTTTCAAATTAACATTTGATTAATAAAATATTTTAATCTGATAATATGAACGATATTAAGTAGTGGTATTTTATTTGAAGTGAACAAGTAAATTTCTGTCAGAGAAATCATTACTAACATATTAATGTGTTGATTTTGGAGATTTCATTCTCGGTAATGGCCCTTTGAAACATTTACTTTTATTACTAGAATAATTTTAAATAATGCAAAAACACTTTGGTCAGAAAAAAGTTGTGATCAAATTGACAGAAATTTATGGTTCATAAATCAGAATATAAAAAAATGCTGAAATAAATTGGTCAAATTAAAGTAATTAAATTTATGCATTAATATTTTGGTTTATCCAATTATTTTACTTTTATGACTACAATAAATAAGTGACAAATAACTGTTCCGTTTTTTTAATCAAATGAAGGTGAAAGTGTTTTGCTCATGTTATCTTAAATTTCATTTAAAGTTTTTTGCCAAACAGCTGACGTTTGGACTAATTAAAAAACACAAGCAATAAAAGTATTTATTTAATCTTAACATTCACTAAAATTGAGCGTAAAAAAATAATGGTATCAGCTTGATAACGCTTTTTGGAATTTACTGCTAATCAACAGCGTACAAATTTTATCATAAATTTTATTCTTCTGTTTCGAATTTAATCAGCACTAAGCATGTTTTTAAAGCTATGTTATGACATTTTACAGAGTACATAGTAAAGTGAAGTGTGATAATTGCTTATATGAAAATTAGAATTAAAAAAAATGTCACATTATTATATTCAATTAAGTATTCAGTTGTCAGCATTAGTTTTTCATTTTGAGTTTTATTAATCATTCAAATTTGTATTATTTTTATTTCTATTTTTGATCATGCAATAATTGAATTTCGCGATTACTTCTGTGAATCGGAACTGTTTATTCAATATCTTTGTACTCTTAACAGAACGAAACATTCTTAAATAAACTGTGTAATTGTCTCACTTTAATATTTCGGAATTTAGTGAAACTACAATTTTCATTGAATTTGAAATTTTTTCTACTGCAATGATAAATTTTATACATTTAGAAATAAAATATAAATCCAGAAATCAAAGTTTCTGTTTAAGCATTTGCTTAGGATTGTAACGAATGTTTATTTTATACAGAAATATTTACTTTTCAAATGTTTGATATTGAATATGATATTAAGTAATGATATGAGTGATAAGTTTTTTATTACACCCGCTATTATTTACTTAAACTTATTTTTTCCTTATCTTTAATTTTAAATTTAAATTGGATTTTATTTGCTATAAATATTTAGATATTTTGTTTCTTACATTAATTTTTTACATGAAGCTCGAAGGTTGTAAACATAATCAGATTATAAATTCTTGAAATGGACAACGAAACATGGCTACTTAATGAACTGGAGTGTCAAGAGCGTCCAGCACTGTTTTTAGTTTGTTTTCAATTTTTGCCCCCATTAATAATTATTAAAATAAAAAGTAAATATTTTGCAAAAAGTACTAACAAATTTTCAAGCATTTTTTAAATTTTCGTTTTTAAAAATCCTCAAATTTCATATTTTAAAAACTAAGAAAATTTTGAATGAAATGAATTTAACAAGTTAATAAATAATTTATTTAGAAATTCAAGATGATATTTGTTGGTATCATCGGTACATTGTCGGCATTAATTGGATTTCTGGAAAATATTTTAGTATTTTACACATTTATAAGTTCAAGAGTGCTTCGACATAAAAACTTATTACATCTCACATGCCTCAGTGTTTGTGATATATTCATTTGTTTTTCTTACATCGAAATTATGTCAGTACAGGTACACTTTTTCAAATTTATTTAAAATATATACATATAATATTATAGAGTGATTAATACGTTATTTTTGATAATATTTTCAAAATTTGTCACCATTTTGAAAAAAAAAATCAAAAATCACAATAAGTTCAGGTTTTTGCGGAGTATTTTCGTTATTTTCCTTTACTTCAACTTTGGCATTCTTATCTCAAGGTAGCATTTGCCACATCACATATTGCAATATGCAGCGCATCATTTCTTATAATGGCTGCGGCATTCGAACGATACCTCCAAATAGGCACCAGCAGGAGTTAAGCATTAAAGCTTTTTATACAATTAATCTTTCAAGTTAAAAATGATTAGTAAACATAGCCAAATACAAAAATTTCCCTTTTAGAGAAAAACTGTAATAATTTTTCCTTTTGTAGGAAGGTAGTGACATTTCAGTTTTTCTGTCGTCATCGAGGAAAAATTGTCATTGCTGCTTTTCTTCTGGCAGTATTATTCCGTGGTTCCGTTTACTTTGAAATACAGGTAATTCAAATCAAGAAGTATAATAAAAAGTATAATATAATTACTGTATGCAGAAATTGCAAAAAGGTTTTAAAACATTAATTGTACAATAATTACATCAATTATGACTATTTCGCGCATTAAATTTTTTCATTACTTTTATTTTATATATTATTACATTTTTTGTATTTATCATGGAAAAATTAACCAATTAAAATGCAATTTTTTACGATTTTTCAATAATTTGATCACTATTTAGTTATGAGTTTGGTCAAAGTAAAAGAAAAAGCCCTATATGCTACTGATATTCTGTTTATAAAATACATGTAACAATTTGAACAAAAATAATTAAACAAGAGAAAATCACTCTTATAAAATGCAAACATTATGTTTCAGTAGCTAATTAAGTTGTAGAAAAAGCACAAGTTTTGTAATCTAGATTTATCATTTGGAAAACTGTGAAGGATTTGCAAGTATTGGTGTAAGAGTCAGTGAACTTGCACAAAATGTATATTACGATGGAATTTGGCGCTTTTTGATTCGACGTATTGCTACTGTATTTCTACCATTTTTTGTTTTATCTTATTGTAATGCAGCTATCGTTGTGAGCTTACGCAGGAATAATCGCAAAAATACTATCAAAATGCTTGTGATGTGTTCTATACTAGGGAATTCGTAAGTTTTTTTTGCCATTTTTTCAAAATATCATTAATAAATGTGATGAATAAAGTATTAAGGAATTAACAAATAGCAAAGGAATAAACAAATATGCAAATGAATGTATGAAATAAATCGTGAAGAAATTAGAAATAATCATTTGATCACAAGTGTAATGCTGCGTGATAGTCTTATAATTTCTTTATTATTATTATGCTTCTTTGTGAAGCTTAACCAGCAAAAATTCTAATCAGTACAATGATAAAATGGCTGATTTGACAAATGGGATAAAAACTTTTAAAAGTAATCGAAAAAATACCATTCATCTTACAAATATGAATGATACCAATCCGAAATGAAATAATTGTATTAACTATTACATGTAACTGAAATTATTTGTAATAGACAAAATGAAGTTACCAAATAAAGATTTAAAAATTGTTACATAGTGAATATTAATTGCCAAGATTTTTGATTTAAAACAGCTCTTGAAATTTTCTTAGTTAAAATTTTTTTTCTATCTCTAAAACGTTTTGGTCAGCTACCGATTTTTTACTGAGTGATGTGAAGCAATTTTACAGCTATGAGCAAAGTTATAAAGCGTATTATTTTAGTTAAATACCAAGATATTCAGCGAAAGTTTTATGCTTGAATATTTTTCTTCAAGATGAAAATTAATTTAAAAATCAATGTACAAAGCAATGGTATTTTGACGTCAAAAAGTTTTTAAGTAAAAATTTGACAAGCAAAGCATTTTTATATACTAGAAAAAACATGCCTATAGTCCTGTAATTCTCAAAAGTATATTTTGATTTCAAAAATATATAATAAAATGGCAGTAAATTTGAGCTGTAATTACAATTTTTTGAGAGAAAAATGAATGCTAAACTGTCAATTATATTATGAAGTAATCGCTTATCAAATATGTCAGTAATATAAGTTTATTTTTAAGCGCAACATCATCTAAATTACGTGATCGCGTAAAAGTAGCAACAAGATCACTGATGATGGTTGTTACTTGCTATTTGTGTTCTAATATAATTGACGTTTTCATTTCTGCATGGGAATATTTGGATAGTGCTTCATTAATGCAATTAGAGGAATTTTATTCAACCGCAACGGATGTTTCCTCATTACTTACCACACTCGCTGCTTGTTTACGATTGCCTATTTATTTGATTAACGATAAAGTTATTCGGAAAGAGGTTATGTTCATATAGTTTGTAACTTACTCCTCTAATTAAAGAAAAGTAAAATTTTGAGTTAATTGCTAACCTTATTACTGGCTGTATGTATATGAGCACACACCTGCACACAGTGCGAACCAAAATGATATCATTTAATCGTCAAAGTGACAAAATTGCTATGAAATAAAAGAATAGAAAAGAATCCATGCTTACAAGTTGGATTCAGTACTTTTAAGAGCATGACTTTTGAGTTTTAAGTTCAATTATTTGTAGGTTTGCTTTACAGTATGCTTTTTTTACTATCATGCTACAGTTTGCCTTTCTTTCCTATCACTACGACACAAGCCAATGAATCATTTGAGGAGTAAGTATGAATGAAATCCAACTTATGATCTGTTGAGATTAAAACTAAAGTCATATCCATGAAGACAGTTATGAAAGAAATGATTCTTGGTAACTGTTTACTTAGTTTAAAATTTAAAAGTCAAAAGAAGTATATAGCTCAAAATCTTTTGTCAAAAATATTATTTATTATTGTTGCTTGCAATAAGATTAAGAAGTTTCAGGAGCACAAATTCTAAAAGTAGCAGGTTCTGGTTTGGTTGAGCAAACAGATCATCACTTGGCTACTGACCTGACACCAATTAACTCTTCCCGAACATTATTTCATACCTTCACAATGATGGCAAGACAAGGACATTCTGAATTAGATAACTCTCAAAAACCGAATCATTTGCATTCACCCAGTACCTTAAGAGGTGAAATTAAGAACGATTTCTCCGAATTAATATAAACAAAAATCGAATTAATATAAACAAACAGTCTTATTATCAAATTATACCAAATATTTACTTTAGAACTCTATTCTAACCTTTATAAAATGTCTTAATCAAATAATAAACTTTAAAAAGATCTAATCAAATTTAATGATATCATACGATAAAATGTACTAAATCATCATGCTGTACAGTTCTATCAAATTTGAATATCCTGAAAAGATAATTTTAAGTGCTTCAATATTGTTAGCTGTTGATATAAAGAACGTTCTTGATAAACCCTTCAGCAAGATATTTAAATTAAAACGAATTAGGTTACATTCATGATAATGTATTACAGTTTACAGTTTTATACTGACCAAAGAATTTTAATGACCATTCGATCATTATAATTATTTAAATGAAACAGGGTCCTTCAATGTTTAGATTTCCGCAGACAAATGAATAAATAGAATATTGTACAGTGAATATGATAACAGCAACACAAAGCATTTCTAGTACTACTAACAAAAAAAATTATTGAAAAAAATTGATTTCAATTTGTATGACACCTAAAAATGTAACAAAATTAAATGAAATGTACTGAATCAAATGCAATTCCAAATTTTTCATTTATTTTGTTTCCAGTTTTCGCATGCTAGAAAAACACAACATAACGTCAAATGTTGACATCAGAATCCGGTTAGAGAAAACAATAGCTCATTTCCAAAGACAATTTCTATTCACTGTATTACATTATTTATCGAGTGGAATGGAAATAATTTACGTAAACTTGCTTCAGGCCGAAGTTTCATGGGTTTCGGAAAGTTCTTAAAAAATATCTGGACCTCGTCTAATTGATTGCACATGACGTGTCGAAAAATCTGGACTCTGTACGCATACTAATAATGGTCGTTTGTGTTTTAAACCAACGTTTACCTGAAAGATTAAAAAATTCAAAGGTTGATGGTACAATCCAATCAATTCAACATGATCAGTTAGACAAAATCAGATTATGATAAGAGTAATGTAAAACAGTCAATATGAAAAGTCAAAGTGTGGTACATACGGATCCTAGCATACATATTATTAGTTTGTTAATTACATTTACATATAAGAAAAATAGTTTTGAATGCGAAAATTCGTATGATATGAGAAGCTCACGTGTATAGTTTCATCATTATCTTCATCATCCATTTCAACTTTGTCAGGATTATGTATAGTGCCATTATCATGTTTATTTAATAAAACGGATAATCGTGGATTAGAACCCTTCGGATGAATTGCAACAATTGGACTTTCAATCAAGTTATCACTTAAATTTGTAGCTATTTGATAGGCATTTTCTGGTTTCAATCCAAGATCCTGGAATCTTTCTTTCATTGCGTAATTTGTGCTTCTGTATGAATTAAATGAAAAACAACACTTCTTTTTTCATTTTTGTCAAGTGATGCAATATTCAACATATTATGATTGAAAGGCCAAGGTTAACTGATGCACCAACTGCTTCTGAGACTTTTTTCATTAATTACAGTTATGAATGAAAAAAGTCCGAGTTCCTTACACGCATTCGATCGAGTTCTTTTGCTGAACAAACTGGTATATCAACATCATAAACATTGTGAAACTTTTCAAAATCAATTTTGTATTCACCGTTATCACGTTGATAAGTTACCAGTTTCTCAAAACTGTAATAATTACTTTTAATTATTATCAGAATGTAATTTTGATTTAATTTGTTTCAAAATAAACAAAGTTCAAAACTAACGAGACGAAATTTGATAAATACTAGAAGGATGCAGTAGTGAGGATAAAAGAATACAAAAACATGCTAGTAATATGTATAAATTATATAGATCAACATTTTTAGCAAAGCCAAAAGAAACATTTTGTTAGAAGTTATCAGGAAAGTAAAGTTGTTGACGAAGAAGGTATTCTCGTCATAGATCTGGTAAGAAGGGATGTCACGTTGACTTCCTTAACTATACGTCAAAGTAATGGCAAGAACAAATCGTTTTTAATCGAAATCAGCACTTCAACTAAATTCTTTCATAAGTGTTCCATTATGCAAATTTCTTCTGCGTAATTTTTGCCTGTAAAGTAATTTCCAAAGATGTCAACTGCCCGTTTTCTTCTACATCCAACTTTCTAATGTATTTTCTAGATCTCATGAAGAAGAAGAGTACAGTATTCAAAAACAAAGAATTCTTTTCAATACTTGCTTTTCATTACAATTAAGTTTTAGCAATATTTAAACTGAGGCTTTAATAAGTGATCTATCACCTTTTCAATTTTTGAAATTAGAATCACACTTAACTGAGCAACAATCTCCATAGAAGGTAGTGGAAAGGATGGTTATGAAAATAAAAAACAATGCCATTATCGGTAATTTTAGGCTACCATTATCCTTTTCTATTCAAATTGAAAAAAATGTTCGTATATGTTATTTTTTCTTTAATTATGCAAACCAGTTTTTAAAGACAGAAATAAAAATATAAAATCAACGAAGGATCTTTTAATGCATTCAGTAATAAATGATTTCTAGCGAAAATATATTTAATTATTAATGGGAAATGAAGTTACTTACCGCTTACCCCACAAAATTTCATTTGGTAAGTAACTTGTTCGTGCTTGTGTTGTAGAACCAACTGATTCAACAACACCTTCCAAAATAGCAATTATTTCAAAAGTATCTGTACACAGACTTTCTTTGCTTATTTCATACAGTGGGCTATTTTCATCAATTTCATGACAAATTGTAATGGGCCAGATAACGAATACTCGATCTAAACCTGTATCGTAGCCAACGTCCATATCAAATTGATGAAACGGTAGTAATTCTCCTTCATAAGTTATGCATTTTTTTATCATCTGGAATTGTCAATAATTTTTTTTATTTCCAAAAATTATTATAATATGTTCATCGTATAGAGTAAGCTACAGATGAAATAATTCTAAGCATTTCTGCTTTATTTATAACATTCACGCATACAAAAAAATATGTCATACTTCTTAAAAGCAAAATATGCATAAAAAATTTAGCGAGCAAAATTTTGCTGATAGAATTAAGTGGTAAAAAATGTTTCAAAATAAATTTTAGCCAACACTGTCAGTATATATTGTGATAAAGAAGTTTGACTGTTGCATAATAAAACTAACTTGTAATCGAACATGAGCTTCAGCTAATGAACTTTTCCTCATATCACCAACTCGAAAAAGAAGGCACAACTTGCCATCCCTCATGCAAATCACAGCATTCTTACTAAAATTAATCTCATTTTTTTTAAACAACTAATATGCAAAATAATTCAATAATTAGTTCAACAAATAATTTGCTAACGTTGGATACATTCAGGAAAATATGATGCCTTAACATATATTTATATATGACAAAATGCTGGACAAAGATTTTAAATTCTTACTGATCTGATCAATCGATTAAGCAAAAGAAACAAAATATTACACAAAATTCCAGAATAAATTTCATTCAATATTTTTCATAGATCCATTAAGCATAACAGTAATTATTTTACCACATATATATTCAATTATTGCATGTGACTTTGAAAAACTGACCAAATTTTTGGAAAATATGAACAATGAATAATTTTCAAACTGTACTTACAAAAATGAAAAAAGCATTATCTAAAAAAAATTGATGACCCTGTGCATGGAGTAATGATGATAACTCTTCTTTTACAGTTTCTTTTATGCGATTTAAAGTTGAATGTTTGCATTTTCGTGAGACTGTTAATTAGTAGAAAAAAAAATCTTCAAGCAATAGCAAATGTCATTCTCATAAATTAATAAAGTGATAATTCGAGATGGTGACCATTCAAGAGTATATTAAATTTAATAAGCTGCAGTTTGTGGTGAATTTCAAGTTTAAAAAATCTTTAACAATGGTATGTTTATTGACAAAATTTTTATTTTACCAAATTTTATTTATTTTTGTTATTGTTTGAAAAATGTAAGGGAGTATTTTTAACAAGCTTCTAATGCATATCATCACAAATTCATCTTAAATATAAAATGAATTTCTGATAAATATTTCTACCAATAACAATATCACACGAATGCTAATTGCAATAATAATAATAATCACTATTGTTATTAACACTTGATAACAACAATAATTAATAATTACTATAATAATAATTAAATCAATATTAAATATATATCATTATTAAAAAAGCAATATCTTATTATTATTAGTTAACAGTAATAGTAATAACAATAACATTTCTGACCATCTAAAATATACTCAAAAAAACCTGAATAAAATAGTAGCAGCTCGTTTAATAGGCCTTGCTAATTTAGCAAATATAACACCAGTCATCAACGTATGGCACATAACACCAATCATAAATTGAAGGCACATTGTTATGACTATTAGAGGGCACTCGCTTGTTGGATATCTTAAACTTCTAAGTAATATTTTGATATAATTAGTGAATATTCTGCTAAGAAATCTATTACTACTGCAATTCAACTGGAAATAAATAATTCTTCTTGGAAACATTTGCAACCAAATTTTATCCTCTTTCTTTTTATTGCTTTTCATTCATTTTGTTAGTGAGATTTTTGTTTCTGTTTCACTTTGCAACAATTGCTATAAAAAATGGTAACCTGAAACCATAACCGATTGTAGTCTGAGTTGTGAATGAAAACAAGAAGATATTCATTTTACTGTTTGCATTCATGACGCATGGAATCCAACTTGAATCAGTGATATGTTCAAAATCACCATGTGTTACTATGATGAAGTAATAAACGGTGAAAAAAAATGTCCAAGAAGCGATAAATGATGTGGCAAAAAATAATAGTGTCCAACGCCATCTGATTTCAATTACAGTAGTGAAAATATCACTATAATTCATAAGATTTGTAACTGAATTTGAAAATGAAAATTTCAAAGGCCCAAAGTAGTCAAATGTTATTATTAAATGGTTCTTGGTGTATTTTTTATGAGTAGTTATCATTTTTTTAAATTTTATATTTTATTTACAAACTATATTTATTACTTTTCTATTTAAGACTAAACATCATTATTATTTATAATTTAATGTAGAATGCAATACTTTATGATAAAAACTTGAGATTGATCAGGTCAGGCATCTCTAAAGTTAATACTACCTTAGTACTACTGCAGTTTTTGTTCTCAAGGAAGAATGAAAATTACCACAACAACAAAACACAATAAACAAATTACCAACTTACATAAAAGTTCAAATTCTACCAAAAATATTTTGTTGTACTATTGTTTTTCTTGCATTCATTACTTAGTTATTAAAAGTTGATGAAAATGCATGCAATTTAGAAAAAAAGTACCTGAAATATTTGCGTCGCTGCTTGGGTACATTAACTAAAGATATATTACATATACCACCTTTTTGTACTAATCTATTACGGACTCGACGGGAACCAATTCTAGGAGTTTTAAAAAATCGTGATGAACGCTCCCGATTATCCAAGCTCATCAACGCATCTTCGCATTCCATTACATCAGTTATCACTGCAAATAAACAAGGTTTTGAATGCCAAAAGCATTAAAAATTATTTTGAGATAAAAAATATTAATTATAAAGATAAAATTTTAGGCTCAATTTTTAAACATATTTTGCATCAGAAACTTTTATCAAGTTTCAACTTTAATGTGATGATGAAGATTTGATAAATGAACACTAATTTAAAAAAGTTTCTGAAATGAAATACTTCGCAAAAGTATTGTTAAAATATCTTTGCAAAATATCTTCTAGTTTATTCATAGTATTATCGAATTAATTCTTAGTATTACTGAACACTTGTGATGAATAGCAAGCAAACTCATTATGATATTACATGATAATGATATTAAACGAATAAATCTGCCAAAAAAGCAAAACGTTTGAAAATAGGAAAGCAAACAAAAAGCTCGCTGTTACTTTCAATAATACCTTCGTCTTACGTCAAATTATAATTAAAAGGTATGACAAACAATGAACTATGAGTAAATAAGTATTAAGCACGCTAGAAATTATTTTTACAAGAATTACAATAAAAAAATAAATAATTAAAACTTGAGTGCAATTTTTTAAATTACTGTATCATGTTTAAATAAAGACAAAAATAGAATTCCTAAGAATAAAAATGCAAACTTAATTAAATGCGTAACATTCATGTAATAAAAAAATGACATATCGAGCCATGGCAACGCTTTTACTGCAAAAAAAAAAAAGGAATAATTGATTCAGAAAACTTGTTTACTTGAGAATGCATCAATTCAGAAATGATTTTTTATATCGTAATAGTAATTAAGTGTGTAAACAGTATTCTAGTTCTAATAATAACAAGGTTCTTGATAATTTGACCAACCAAAAACCAAATACTAATACTTCATATCAATATTGATAGATATTCTTTATTCGTTTTGCTTATATTTAAAAATTTATCAAACTTTTTATAGCAAACAATATGTGCAACATGATGAGCTGTTGCATGCAAAATAATCATTTGATTAACAAATTTAGTATCCTTTTCCCTCTTAAGCAACTAATTTGCTATTTTGTTATCAGCAAATAATAGCAGATATGCAGCATCTTTTAATTAATATTGAAAAATTTATTCATATGATAAACTTACTGAAATCATGACATCTTTCAACAATCTTGGAAAATAACATTTCACTTGAAAAATTGTGCACTTCGTATTATTTTCAAAAATTATTAGCTATAAATAATGATTATTTTCACCAAATAGAATAAAATGCTTACAGCAGTTTTATAACAATAATTTAAACCTTGAATGAGTAGTCATCGTAATAAACAAGGAAATCAATCTGATATATTAGACTAGGTCAAATTTTTGAAAATAGCAATAAACTTAGGTTTTCGATAATAACTATAATTTTTAAATTGGTGAGTACCAGTGTTTGAAAAATGAAGATATAAATTTGAAGAGTATGGGAATTGAAACGAAGCTCAGCTAGGTAAACAACAGTCTGAAATAAATAAAAGTAAGGGATGAACAGGAAATACAAATATGTGCATGCACAATGAACATATACATTTGTTCCAATCACATTGGCTGAAGCTTACACAAAATATTTTAAACCTAAAATGTAACATCCCAATTTATTTTGTTGTATTTCAATTCTGCAGTTAGTTCATAGCATACGGTGCGACTTAAAAAAAATATAATCCATTATTTCGGCCAGTGTTTTTAGAACTTTTTCAAGTTGGCTAGATAGTTAAATAAACTTGAAGAAAATGCAAAAATGTCAAGCAAAACTTGTCATTCCTTCCCCGAGCAAAATTAAATAGCATACCAAATGAAATTTTAGCGTTCTCATTTCATACAAAGAATACACCATTTGAAAAAAAAATATCAGAATAAAATTTTACAAAATTTTAGGGAAAGAATGTTAAAACTGAATATTGTTGCTAGCTAAGCAGTGAAAGCCAACTATACTATGTGTATCCACTTGGTTACCATTATCGCTAAATGGACTTTTTGGAAAACCAAATTCCATTCGGTTTTCATTTCCACTTCTCCAATTTGGATTATTCCCCCTCCAATTCTTTACTTTGGTTTAGTTTCTAATGCTTTTGTGGTGCTTCGCTATTAGTTTAGTCATGCAAGTGCTGCTAAAGCCAGATTAGTTTTTCATTAAGTTTTGAGATTTTAACGGTATAACCTTAAATTGATCCCAAATTCTACACATTTTAGTACATCACATCCATAATATTTAAGAAAGGTATGGTATGTTGAAATCAAAAATAATTAAGTACGTGAAAATATAACAATAATCAGTAAAAAATCAAAAATTTTCAAGAATGTGTTTAACTCTAAAATTATATGAGCTTTAAAACAAAGAGTAGAGTAATGTGAAGACATTATTTAAGAAGTGTGAAAAAAGTTTAATGTATTCTTTCAAAGAAACAAATTTACGAGCAGTAGAAAAGAACTCGGATATACTGAATTTTTCAGCCTTTCATAAATTTCAGTGCAAGTTTTATTCAAATTTCATTAATTGCTATGAAATGAAATTTATTGACAATATTTTACGTCTTATAATATAATATATAATATGCCTTATGAAATATAATATAGACTAATTTTAATTTCCCAAAAAATAATCTCTCGATGTACAATGTTGTTACGACAAGTATAACTGTGGTAAGCAAACAAGTGTCATTAACAAAAACAAAAGGAGCTAATCTGAGTCTTCCTATCAGTAAGTAATAGTCCAATGATAAAATAGGTAAGCTGATAAATACTTTTAAATGTTAATCAAAGACAAGAAATGAAAGAAACAGTTTAAAGTATAAATTCCCTATTATTAAGCCTTAGAATTCATTCATTTTTAATAGTAAGTAAATTTTTATCCGCAATAAATTTTACTGCTTTGTTAGTTGGTAAAAGTAAAACAAATTATATTTGTTCACTAACCTTTACAAAAAACGAACTATGGAATCTTTGCGTCAAAAATTTTATTTTCAATTACCATCAAATAAACAATTTTAAGGAAATTCCTCATGCTAAACAGACAAAATCAGTGATTTCATAGCTATAAACAAGCTATAGTCTATAAAAACTAAGTTCAAATGTTGACCGATCTTATAAAAATTGCAATATTCATAAAAGATACAAAAATTTGCTTGCTTTCCAACTTTCATACATTATTAATCAAGAAATAAGATAAACTACACGAAGTGAATAATTTTTTATAGTAACTATGAAATTTTACGGCAAAAAATTATCGTTTGTAAACAGAATAATCTATAAATACTAGAAATAAAGCAAATTTTCGTACCTTTTATGAATTTTTTCAACTCATTAATTTTGATTGTCTCAATTACAAATTACCTTTTTATTTGACAAGAAATTCAACTGGTCTCAATCAAAAAACAAACTTGCTCGACATATATCTCTTATACTACTTTCTAAACTTTTATTCTAACCTTGTTTTCAGTATTTAATTCAAGATTAATTTGTTGAAGGATAATCCTTCAACAAATTTTAAGATACATAATATTACTAAGCAAAGAATCTAATAAATATTAAATGAATTCAAGCAAAAAATGTAGCATTTTTAAAATTCAATGCACAAAATTTTGCTTCCTTGTATAAACAAAATTAATAACTACAAAAATTTAGACTGAATAAAATTTAGAAAGCAAAAATCGTTTTAGCCTCTGTGAGTGTACCAAAATCACCTCTTGTTAACTCAATTTCGATTATCAGCGAATATATGCAATAAATGAGCTTAATTATTGCTCAGGTACAGTATTTTTTTTTTTTGTAAATTATTCATTTGTCGAAAAGATCATTCACAAATCAAGCCTAACTTTGCTTTCTCAGAAATGAAGGTTCGAATAAACAAGCAATGATTTTTTAATACTGTGTGATTATTAAGCATTTCTCATGCTCTGTGGTAAGTCACAAAAATCACCCGTATTTTTCAAGTAAATGAATTGAAAAGCAGAAGTTAAATAAAAGTTATTACGAGTGATGTCCAAATCTAGGCATAATTTTTAAAATATTTCGAACTACTCTTAAAAAAAGACTCTTAAAAAGCTTATTACATAATTATTCTTTGTATTTTAGACATTCAGAGCGATAATTAATTGCACCTTACTGTTTTTTGACAGTTAAGTATTTTATTTTACTTGAAACTGTAGTGAATTAGAAAAATATAAGGACAATCATATCAAAATTAGAACGTAGAAAACAGGATTATTCAAATTCCAGTAATGAAATATCAAAAAGCAATAATGCAAAATGAATCAAAATGGAAACAATCAGGCACAAAAAGTAATTTCACTCTATAATTTATTAAGAAGAAATCTAACTTCCGTAAATTTTTGCATTGCTATTAATAATTTTTTCAACATAATTGATATTGTTACAGCTGTACTTTGATAATGGTAAAAGATTGTTGTAATGTTGTATTGACTTTGCAGAAAAAAATAAAACATATCATCAAGTTTTAACGCTAAATATTGTAAACTGAAATTAAATGGTTCAATTTTTCAAGAATTCATTTACATTCACAATATTCAGTCAAAAAATTACAATTAAAAATTTAACTAGTAGCGACAAATTTTACAAGCTTCTGAATGATTAGCTATCTCAAAAAAATAAGAAAAATATTCGAAAATTATTAATGAAAATGTTGTGATATTTTTTGCTCTTTATCTAAATCATCAAGTAGATTCTACAGAGCAAAGATTTGAAAAATGAAAAATTTATATCAAATATGAATTTCGAAAATTTGTAACTGATTTTAATAAAATTGCCGAATGCTTTTATAGTTTATGGAGATCAGTGCAAATTAATTACATAAGAACATTCAACTTTTGTAAAAAATGATAATTTGTGTAAATAAAAAAATTTCACATTAATGCTTTATTTGTTTCAAAAAGAACATCTTGAGATGAAACTTAATATTACTTAATCAACTGTCTTTTATTCATAAAATAACAAATTACATTTTAAATTTAAAAAAAAATTAATAATAAAGAAAAGACTTGTGGGCTTAGGTAGAAAGAGAGGCATGCCGGACGTCTGAAATATCTTTTCCATCAGCAAACTTTCTTCATTTTCCCATCTGCAATAATATTTGCCTGCAATACTGCTATCATTACTGAAACAGAGAATACCTGTTAATAGTAGAGATCATTATTTGAAATAAATAATGTCACACGTAAATACGCGCAGATTTGTTCAACATTTCATTGTTCTTTGAGTAATAGGCATTGGTTATATTGTTTTAAAGGATAATTTGAAATATTATTTTGTATTTTATAATTTAATTGTAAAATATGAATAAAAAGTTAGATTAAATTAAGAGAAAATAAAACAAAAATAGAAAATGTATTTTAAGCACAATATTTGGAAATTTAAATTGTTAACTGTAAGATCGATATATTTCCTTTGATAGAAAAAGTATCTTACAACTAACAATAAAAGATTTGTGAAAGAATAATTTACTAGCAGTTAATTGGTTGGTAATTTGGAGGCATATGAAAAAAAGGTGTGTTTAATCATCGTCACCTGTGCATTACTGTAGAAATATGGGAAGTACCTTATAATTGCTCATAATGCGATAGCAGTATAAATATTTGGAAATAAAACAGCGGCAGCAACAGATATGTAAGCTATGTCGTCCTTAATATTATGACCTTGTTATTACTATTAGTGATCATTCCTTATGTCTTAAACTATAATACTACAGAAGACGTGGGGATAATTGATGCATGTGCTCATTATGCTCCCAAATATAAAATGTTAGCAGACATTTACTTTCTCCTTCAATACGCTACCATTATTTGTGAAGAACGAGGGATGAATGCAATGATTGCATAATAAAATAACTGTACAAACCGCATTTACTTCCCTTACATAACTCGCAGCATATTTCATTACCTTGAGATATCAGCAGTCTAGACAAATTTTTTAGAACTAGTAACACTGCCTTTCTTTATCTGATTCGTGCTTATGTATTTGCATAGATTCCATTATTCGCACTGATACTAACCCACTCACCCACTTAAAAAGCCTATTTGGATTCCCACTTAAGTCTTCAATCACATGAATAAATATCTCTTTTGCGAAATGCAAGTACTTAAATTAAGCAATCATTTTTTGCGAATAAATACTGTTCCATAGAAAATGAAATTACTGAATACATCTATTTTCCTGAAGTTAGCATTAGAACCAAACCTCTGTAAATTATATTAAGAGAGTAACACTGGTGATAGGGAATCACCAGTCCTAAAGTAATGATTCTTCTTGCTCAACCCAGAAATAAAATGCACGATTTCAAGATCGCACAGAATTTGTGATTGAACCATCAAAAGTAAAAACGGAAAAATTATGGCTAATCGAATGCTTTAAATTAATCAAATACCTAGTGAATCGTACCAATATAATTCAAATTATCTAATCCTAGAGCAGTTTAGCTAAATTTAAAAAAATATCAAGTTTAAAGATCAATTAACAAAATGCGATGCAATTATATGATTAATGGTTAGTTATTGTTATTGAAACGGAATTCACAAAAGGTATGAAATGATAGAAATGAAATACATAAAATTGTTCTATGCAAAATATTAGGAGTAACAACACTTCAAGCTGAATAAAATAAAGCTTTTAGATACAAAGTACATTATAAGTATAATATACGTAAATATATAAAATAAGTAAATACCAGACAGCACTGCCTGAAAAAAATGATGAACACTACCCGTCTCAAACACTAGATGTAAAAAGTTATGGCCAATTACACAATATATACAAAAGTTCAGAAAGATACAGAGACGTAAAGCGGGAGGGAGTTACTATCTAAATAAGACCAAGTATGCTACATACGATACAAACGTGGAATCAAGATGAAAATTTTCAGTCAATCAGTTTACTGAATCGAAACTGAAATCTCGTATGCTTTTTTCTTCAGGTACGTAGCACCCTACAAACAACTCTGCAACAATAGTTCTTGGTCCTACATCACAGATACATATGAATGCGCTGTTATTTATATATATTGATAATTACAGATGGAATGCTACCTAGAAAAATGAATCAAATAATCTAAAAAATATAAAAAATTATTTTACAAAAGGAAAAACAATCTTCGAAGACTTAAGCATATGTTACAAAATGTTTGCAGATGAAAAAGTGCACATTAAAATGAGTCGCAAAGAAAACTTATGAATAATGTGTCGTTGGGCTTCATAAGTACAACAGAGTAATTATCCTTAAATTTCTGTATATTAACAGAATGTTTTTTCTACGAATCATAAAATTTAGAATTTCGACCATTTCTTCCAACATAAATTTACCAAAAACCTGTTGCCAAATTGAACCAGCCATCCAAAACTTTTATGCCTTTACGATCAGTTGGAATATCCACCAGTTTACGTAGAGGGATGTGCACAGATCCAATTATTGAATTTTCCCCGACTAATGAGCCACAATTCCAGACGGAAACTTCTAATGCGCGTTCAATCAAGTTAATATCAGAGACCAAGTGGTAATGTAGCTAAAAACCCATGATATTTACATATTTGACATAAAATTTATGTTCTCCGTACAGAGAAAAGAAACTATTCTGGAATCTTTCATTGAAGTGTGATTATCAAAGCAAAAGTTTTCCGTCTATTCAACTGATTTAAGTGAAGACAATTACTACTCGGCCTACCAGTCCATTTTATCAGACTACTCTATCAAATGCTCAACATTTACCATCTAATTCTGTACAAGTAAAAAATTTTATTATCATGACGTAGTTACGAACCTCCTCATTAAAAGTCGGCATTTGAGTATTTTTTACAACATGTGTTTTTCGCTTTGAGATTCTTTGAGGATCCGGATGCAAGTAACTGAAAAATCAAAACCAAAAAAACTCATAAAACATTGTAATCTACATTATATAATCATGAATAATGAGAATACACGCAATGAACCCACGTTTTAACGTAAGAATCTGGTATTTGACCATTTATTGTCTTCAATCCTCTAACGTGACCAACAAAAATACTCAAAGCCCCATCCTGTTGATCATAACTAAGTTTCAAGAATATACGGCCAATTATTTTCTTTGATAATGCATCTTCGTCATCTACTGCAACTGATTCATCTTGTATAGCTAAAATGATTAATTCCAAAAAAAAAAAATTATGCTCTCAAAATTTGGGTTCAAACTAAGGTTTTCGGCACAAAAATATACTTTTTATACCACTAAAATTAAAAGTGATTACCGTTCATAACTTGCGAAATTCGATTTGACTCTTCAGGTGCAGTATCACGGAAAATCATATGAAAGAATGTATAAACCAAATCACTCTAAAATGAACTAAAACTACTTAAAAAACTAGCAGGGTTTATTTTTGATCAAGTTATTCATTCTGAACTCGATTAATATGATCTTGATCAAAACTGCTCATTTAATATTTTGTTAGAATTGATGGAAAATTATATGCCACTGACACTAGCCACTTCTGCATGGTATTCGAATAGTAAATTTAAAAACTGCTGCAGACTAGCTTGTCTTCTCTCAGCAACTTTACGTATATTTGAGCGACCAATATTGGTTCCTTGTGAAAGAGGTGGTAACCGTGCGAACGGGAACCTAGCATTGTTAAAAACAAATAAAAGACAACAAATGAAAGCATGAGCATTTAAATTTTCCAACAGCATAAGACCTTGATTTCTCTAGAAACTGTGGAAGTAAACTTTGAGCTGGAAAAATGTCTGAAATAATTTCCTAACTCATCAAATTTAGTCACTTGCAGTTTTGATGTGTTCACACGACATACAATTATTTCCTTAATGTTCTTCCCAAATCTAATCCTGACATATTACGTTTATCAATATTTGGATAAAAACAAATTATATATTCATATACTACTTGACACGAATTTTACCTTCGGCATAATTTGATATAAAGTTCAGTGAATTCCAGAAATGATCGATACACAGTACCACAAACCATTTCATTTTCTCGTTTAACTTCGACTTTATACATCTGTAACATATCAGCTTTATAGTGTTCAAACTCACATCTCCACAAGCAATAAAAGTAGTTTTTTCTAAATTGATTATAAAAAGAATTGACTAGAGAGAAGAATTACATAGACTTTTTCAGGTATGTGCCATTTCTCAAACGCCAACACATCGACTTTTACTATGCGACCATCATCTTTCATTCTAAAAATTTTGTCTTCATATCTGTAGAAAAATCTAAAATTTTCAGTATTACGTTAATTAAAACTACGCCGACACAAGAATTTCTAGAATTCTACGAAAATAAAAATTTATGAAAATGTAGGTTCTTTAACAACTTACGTATATAATTGTTTGATAAAAGATAGTTTATTTGGATCATCAGACCCACCACGCAATATTGATGGTGTACTTCTCAACTGAACCAACGTATGAGCAAGAAAATTCAATCTAAAATAAAGCATACATCAACATATTTTCATATCCACACTAAAGTAAGCACAAGTGATGCAACTATATTTCAATAACTTTCATATTCTATACCGAGGAAATTTGCTTTTCAAACTTTCTTCAATCATTCGTGTAAACTGAACAGTAGCTTGCGTATCAGTTAAATTTAAAAGCAGATTGGTTTGTACAAAATTGACAGCATCTAAATTCATACCAGGAATCCCCGAACAAGACATCTGCAACATAATGGAATGAAGGGAATTTGACAGGTAAGAAATAAAATAAAGTTTTTCTGCACTCCTCTTAAATACCCGTACTTATTTCTTGTGGCATACTTTCTACAACAGGTGCAGTCAAAATAATCGATGATATTTTGCAGTCAAACTTATTTTTTGTACCTAGTAGAAACAACAGTACTACGCAGCGCTTTAAAAGTGAATAAAGTGAAATATGATGGTGCTTTAATTAAGGCTTTTCACGGAAATATAAGTTTGCTTTAAAAAATTTTCAATGATGATTATTTAAATTGATATGATTGCTCATTTCCTTACCATTTTCATGAGATTGACAAATAGGGAGTAGTTCTTTCGAAGTAAATTGAAAGCTCTACAGCAAATATCAACAAAATTTTGATAACGACTAGTGGCTGACTGAGGTGAACCTTCATTGATAACATAAGCCATATCACTGGTAAAAATAAAAGGAGTACGATCTCTACAAATGAATACGATTTATTTCAATATAACTTTCAGTCATTTGAAAGAAATATTCAAAGTTTACCTTCGGAATCCAGCAGCCATCTGCCAGTCCCCCATATATTTACCAAAATCTATATGAAACACGTGACCAGTTTTAGTCACCAGTATATTATCATTATGACGGTCACCAATACCAAGTACATAAGTAGCAACACACCACCCTGCACACGACAGATGGAAATTTTCTAACGCCTGTAACTCAATTTCAATAAATATAACTTTGATAATACTTAAGTATATAACAACACCTACTTGAAATACATATTAAGTTTCAACTCAGAGCATTACTACTATCTGTCTAGATATTCAAAAAAGAAAAAAAAAAGAAAAAATTACTATTTTGTATTGAAATTCTGAAGGATTGTGCATCTCCAGCCAATTTTTGAGTACATCATCCTTGAACACACCAGTAGCACCAGAAGCACTTTGAATTTCGCATAATGTGCGACAATCAGGAACCAGCTCGACCATTCCTAGAAAATACCAGAAATTACCACTTTCATCAACAACTACATAAGTTCTTCTAAGATTCCAGATTTACCAAACAATTACTGCCAATGATGAAGCCATACCACTTTTGTTCCCGAATGGAATACAGCGGAAAATAACCATTCTAAGATCAAGTTCATGACTTAACCATATATCATTCATCATTTTTACCAACTGCAGCACTAGTGCATCTTGTCGCATATCGTCTCCAATCTAGAATGTGCACAAAATTATGAAACTAAAAAAACATGAAATAAACTTTATTCTTGATGGTACACTGAAATAAAATACAGTTAACCTTAAAAATGCTAAAAATGCTTTCGATATACTGATATTAAAAAGGGATGATGCAGAATAAACCGACCTTATATAACACTGAAAGGGAACTTTTCAAGCCCTTGAATGTTATTTTAATAGGCTTTGTCAATGAATTGAAATAGCTGGAATCGGATACATCGATACCTGTACATAAAAAAGATGGCAAAACAGGAAGACGAACATTGTTTGCCAGTATTCGAGCATCTAACAGTGCAAGATGTCTTTGAAGTGTTAACTACAAAAGAGTGTGATGAGATCAGAAGTTCGCGAATTTCATATGTTTCATAACTCTGAAGAACCAAATTATTAAAACTCAAAATATTATATTGAAAAAAACGAACCATTTTATTGCCATCGTTAGCATCTTTTACATCGCAAGATATACCATTTAATGCTTTCAAAAGTCGATGTTGATTTTCAATGTCAATACCAAATTCTTTATCTAACAGTTTTAAAATTTGCTGCTGCAGCAAATTGCATCTATTTGAATAAGCCCTTTCTTGGCACACGTCTATTCGTTGTTGTAACTGCCTGAAAATAAACTTTTGAAATTTGATTTTAAGTAAAATGTTGCCAGTCAAAAACTAGAGTAAACAGACAAATTAAAACGCACCAATAAAGTTCGAAAGCAAAACGGCGATCGCCAGCGCTAAGCGTTAGTAGATAAACCGCTAATGAAGAATTTTCGAATGCTTCAAATCGCAATGCCTGCAGCATAATTGATCTCCCATGTTCGAAGTCGAAACAAAGAATAAATGAAGAAATCTTATTACACTCTCGAAGATCAGGCAAAGTTCCTTCCAAAATACTTTTTAATTTTGCAAGTCTCAACAAAACTTTTTGAATTACAATTCTATTCAATCTTGTTCATTGAGCAAAGCAGATATATTTAGTACTGTAAATCCAGTTATTCAATAACCTCAGTTAACTGGGGAAGAAAATTAAAAAGAAAATCCGACGAAGCACTTCTAAGCCAAGATATAGCTTTTGATCGAACTGTAAAGTCCGGAAAACTGAAATGAGAAATTACAAGATTTTCACGATCTCACGACATGTTTTACTGAATGAGGAACTTTAAGAACCCAATTAAAAGAACAAACATACTGTGGAAGGAGAAGTTCGATAGCTTGCACCGAACTTAATGGCATCCAATCATCAAGCAACTGATAGATATTTGTGAGAGATGCCCAATCCCAACCAACAGCAGAAGCGAGCACTAAAGGTAAAGCAGCAGGTATATTAGTTAAATAATATCGTTTCTCCCATAAAGCTTCTTTTTCATCTTCAGTTAGACTGAAATTTAAAATGAAGTCTCTCTATTCTAAACTTGTTTGATCATCAAAAATAATTTCGAAAAACTACCCAAAAATAGTTGAAAAAGCGAATACCAGAGATGGAATTTGCTTCCAATAATTAACCATATTTCTTCGTAGCATTTCATATATATCGTTAAAGCATTTAAAAAGACACAATATTTGTATTATAAAAGGTGAACAATGTGAAAATATATGAATTTCAAAAAACCTGTAAGTAACTCCATTTTCCACAATATCCAGCAAATTCTGCTGTGTATCGGAGTCAAGTGAATTGAAATCCCGTTTCATGCTGCAAACATATCCAAAAATATTTTTGCATAAATTTTGTATAGAAACTTCATATATTTCAAAACCTGCCATTTGAACCACTTTATTTTTTTATTAATATCTTGTACAAACAGTACTAACTACTGACGGCACTAAAATTGAATGCTCACAGATTTTAAAAATACCACAAGAACAAGAACGACTTCATATTTTCCAGGAAATGATCAGTAAGAGATACATGGTTAAATGTAATGACAGTACAGAAAACAAAAAGAGACAAGTAAAAAACATTACTTATTGTCTCCATAGCTAACGTGTGGGAAAACAACACCATAATGCAGTTGCGGTAATGTCACGAGTACAACGAGATCATCTTCTGCTTCGAACAATGGCCTTGGTCCCCAAGGATGAACCACCTTACCATCAATAGCAGACAGAGGTAAAAGAAGGGATCCTTGACGAAGTAAGCTAAATAATCAATGAATTTTTCACCAGACTAAGAAATACGATAGCACGAAAAAAAATTGTATCAAAATGAGTGATACCAGCAATGAACGCAAAATCTAAAGAATAATCATGAGATTGCATAACGACTAAAATTTCTACGACCAAGTTCGTAATTTGATCTAGCAAGCACAAAAAAGGTAAAAGCATCGTAAGAATGCTTAAGATAGAAATTGTTCTTAATTCTGAGCCGAGATTTTCGATTACACGCGAATCTGGGCAACAGGATCAATGTTTTGTATAGGTGCTTTAAAAACACACCCTTCATGGTCAAACAAGGGAAAAGAAGCACAAGCAAGTTGTTTCTCAATCAACGCTGATGATTCAATTGATGAATGACTCTGTAAATCAAACTGTAATGTATAAATATCGCTTGGAGATACTAGTTCTGAAGAAGTATAAGAAAAAGAAAAAAATGAGCTAATAGAGACTGCATACATGGAAATACACTTACATAATCGGAATAATTCGATGGACTGGCTCCATATAATATGATAAAAATCCGAGTTTCACGAGGTAAAACACAAAGTGGGATACGGAAACAAGCCTTCAAACATAAAGACGTCGACAAAAGTTTGTATGCGTACAAGGTTGCTCATAAAATTTTGAATAAAGAGTAAATTAAACTGAAAAAATTCCTCTAATGATGAGCAATAAGAGAGTTTCAATCACATTGAGATGACTTGAAATTACAATGTTGATAAAAGAAAACAACTTAGTTTCATAAAATGAAGAATACAAACCCATGTATTAGTCGGGCAATATGGAAAGAAATGATTGCTTATGACTGGCCGAGAACTTTCTTTTATACCTCGACAAAGTTCAGCTGTCCCATGCATTACATGAACAGCGACTGAGAAAACACTGAATCGATCTGACCAGTCCTGTGGTATATTATGAACTGAATCAACATGCACTAAAAGCTGTTCGTCAACTGTAAAAATTTCCCGATGTTCATGTTCCGCTCTCGGAAATGCCTAAATTAAAAAATTGGAATACCTATATCTATATCGTATGAATAAAGAAAACTTACTTCTACACCCAATATTTTGAAAGCAGTAAAGTTCGTCCCAATGAGAACAATTATTTTGAAAAAATGCTCTAACTATCGTTGTTTCAAACAGTATTTAAACAGAGAGAGCCCAACTTTCAATATATCTCCATATCGCTATGAACTAGCTTAAGAAAATTTGCCTTTAGTTTTTCAATAACATTCAAAATCTGATAAAAGCAAGCAGTTTAGAAAAACCTGCAAAGGGAGTATATCAAACCCACAACGAACAGATTTGCAATACAAATCAACAAAATTATGCAAAGCAATGAGAAGTTCTTGCTCTGCGATTAAAAGTTGGTCCTGAAAGAAAAATTGTTCATTCATCGCAGCAAAAGGTATTATTAAAATATCGAAGTAAATGGATCATAACAATTTTTTCATTTTTTCTTCTCTAAATTACGGTACTTTTTGTAATAAGTGACTGATAAGAGAATTCAAGAGTGGGTTGAAATTTTACACTAGTTGTTGATGCAAGATACAGTTGCAAAGCTCGAGAAAGTGCAGTCGGCATAATGCGTCCAAGAACTGTGCAAAGAAGTTTCAATGATTGACTCACACCGTCCTTGCTTTTTTTTTCTGAAATATATTGAAGATGGATACTAAAAAACTACTGAATAATAGATAAATAAATGACAAAAGCAATAAAATACCCATCATTACCATTACCTGCTGATGTCGAACAACCAAAAGCATTTTTCAATGCATCTAAAATCTCTCGCACATCAGTCATCGTTCGTACTACGGAATTCTGTTTCCTTAATTTAAAAAAAAAAAAGAAAATTATGCAAAATAGAACAATATAAAACACATAATGCTTTGAGAAATGAAATTTATACATAACTCCAAGATATTTCAAAATAAAACAAGATAAAATTCATTCTGTGTCATAATTCGGAATATTTTTTTCTAAATAATACTTATACTAATTCACATCAAAATAAAAAGTTATAAGGTTAAATGAGTTACGTTAAGAGCACAGTTTTTCAATTAAAAAAAATAGCAGAATGAAAGTAATAACATATCTGAATAATACTCAGGAAGTTATGTAAAAAATTAATCAGAATTTTTCAGTTCATTGTTATACTGACTATGGTTTTTCATCTTAAATTTATTCGATACGCAATTTGCCAGCTGTAAAAAAGTAGAATGATACTTGGATTGGGAAGAATGTGTCAAGTCGCCATCCATGTTTGCTATTTGAAATTGTTCCAGGATTCTGCATCGATTATTATTTACTATCTTGCCCACCTATTCAAAAATCAGTAATCAACACTGAGGGATATTACAAGAACTCAAGTTTAAAATTTTACTGAAAAATGAACCTCTAGCCTTATATCTTTACCAAAAGCGAGTGCTTGTCCAACAAAGGGATTCTCGCCAAGTTGAGAACTACTAAGAAGGAATTCATCTAGTCCATAAATCTAAAAAGAATACGTTTCAACTGGTAACTTAGCAAAGGCAAGTTTGATCAAATGAAGGATATAGTCTGCTGCTAATAATCAAAATTTATTGAAATCTAAACACTAACTTTCAATCCATATTCATCAATCGGTAAATGGCCTTGCAATAAATTAATAAGTGATGGATCAAGGAAAGTATTTAATACATTTGCTAATATATACTGAATCGTACTTGTTGTTTCACAGGTAAACGTCATTTTGTCCTCTACACCCAATATTGAAGGCCAACTACAACAATTTTTGTTCTTTAAAAATGTATTAAATTGAAATAAAATTTAAGTCACATTTATAAACTTGAAAAATTTTCTCCAACAGTTCTTATTAATCAATCTCTTGATTACTTAGAATTTTTACCTATCAGGGAGAAAACTAAAATACCTAAAATCTTTCTCGACTATTACTTTCACACTTGTCACTTTGAAACTTGTTATCAAGTAATCCACAACAGGTGATATGAAATGCTTTGATATCGAAAGACAATTTTGAGGAGAACGACGTAAAAGTGATTCAATCTGAAAACCAAATCAATCATGTAGATGTTATTTTAAAGCATAAGCAATGCTAATACAAATGCAAACATGAGCGTTGGTAAACAAACTTCACGATCGATTTCTGAAGGTTTTTCCTGCAATCTTATTTGATTGAAATCAAAACGACAAAGTGTAATATCTACAGATTCACTTCGTCCATTTTTGTGCAATCTAGGAGGCTTGCACGGAGGTGACCAGCGAACATCTAAAACAATAACACTGTTTAAGCCAAAATCAGAAATGTATTTTTAAAAATTGCATTATTTCCTTTGAACAAAATTAATGACTTCTCTCAGCAGCAGTCGGATACGATGATGATATTGATTCAGACCTTTGTACAGCTGGCAAGTTTGACAAACTAATGGCGGAATGGCTTTGGTGAATCCCGGCATCTTTTTTCTCATTCGACCATATTGAAGCAGCTTCCCGATTTTTTGTATAATAAGCACAAAGTGGATCAAATTCCTCCCATGGCTGCATGAAGTTAAAGAATATCATTTGAGTAGTGGAAGTAAAAAAAAACACCAACAATCAAATGATGATGAAGCATCAATTTTTTTTTCACAATTTTAAAAAACTAATAGACAGAGTACTCAAAGCAAGCATTCTAAAGAAGGCAAAAATTTTGATATATTTCACATGAAAACTTTGAAAACTAAGTCCTCATATTCAAGAAAGTACACAAACAAAACAACAGAAGAAGTATATTAGTACCAACATTAGATTCTGTCTAAGCTAGCAAATCGTTTTTCCAAAGACTGAAACGAAAAAAGATGCCGAAAAGGGCACTTGCTCTAGCTTAATCTTATTAATTTAAATTTTTAAGCGTCAACATATCAATCAGGTGAAATAAGCAGGAAAATTTTAAGTAGAACTTTTGAACTTGATATGAATCAAATTTTAGTGCTTTCCGAATAATTTGTATCACAATTAAAACTTGCAATCTTGATCCATTTCATCAAAAAATTAAAACTGAAACAAACTAAATAAATTGGAATACTATAAAAGAAATTTTTTTGTGAAATGCGCATCTAAATAATAGGTTAGAAGAAATGTGAAAAAGGATTGAATACTTAACGACAGTATAAAAAATAAGGCAAGAAAAAATCACTTCTTTATCACTTAAATCGATCAAGTCGCTATTTGGTTGAAGACCGTGGATAGAAGAACAAAATGGAACAACAACTGTGCTACTTGAAGGAAAGAACCTTTGCACCGCATTATGAGCAACAGAATCATACAAAATTTCAGCGTTTGTAGCTTCCCGTACACCAAATACCCGTTCGACAGATAACGTGGCAAGTGAATCGACCGATTCCAATCCTAGTAAAATCCACAAATATTCAGAGTATTTAAAAATAAAGACAGGAATCAAATGCAAAGAGAAATGAAATAAAGCAAATCGCTGCAAACAAAATATTCAAATTCCATTATAATACATCTCCAAAATTTGACAGAACAATTACAATTTTTGTTAGCATTTTTATTCTAAAAAAATGTTCCACGATATCACTCTTTGATTTTCTGAAATCTAAAATTCAAAATTTTTGATTTGAAACGCCTATAACAGCAAACTGAAACTAGTGAGAATGAATATAAGCTTGCACACCGTTACGTGACGAATTATGAACTAGCCATCCACCAGCATTTTGAAGATGAAATTGAGAAGCGACATTTCCTGATTTTGTAGGGCTTTGTTTATCAGAAGCATGCTCACTTTTACTGAATGACAAGATGTGCAAAAACAAAAAAAAACTGTTGCAGATGGACTTAATTTTAAAGCACAAAAAAATGCTTTTATTGAATAGTTAATTTAGGAATTAAAATAATTAATTGCAGACACCTTCTGAAAAAACTGGAACTGTAATGTTTTACACTACACTCTTTTTTGAAATATGATTTTTCAATACTTACGAAATGAAGTTAATATATTTGCCACAGAGATTATCTGAATCTACTTTCGGCTGATCCATACTTTCAATTTTGATACTTTTCTGTGCATCATCTAAACAAATTAAATCTTGACTACCTGCGAGCTCTTGCTTTTTCCGAGATTCCTCCTCATATGACTGCCTGAAACAATAAATTTTTCAAGTGAAATGTTTCATTTTTGAAAAACTTTACTTCACTATATTTTAGAAGACAATTTGGAGTATTGACAAAAAAAAAGCAAACAAAAGTAAAACTGGATAACACTGCTCCACATGATTTTAATATTTGCAAGAGAGAAATGAGTTCTGAATACGATAAACAGTGTGTGAATATGATAAAATAAGACCTGCTTAACTCGAGTGCAAGCTTCAAATCTCTCTCATAACTACAGTCATTCGCCGCCATATCACCTTTTAACAATTTCTGCACATCTGAAGTGAAAATTTGAGCAAATAATTGTAGTTTAATTTTATAGGAGAAATGAATGATTTTCCATCTGATAATAGTTACATAAAGCAGATTATTTCCT